GAAAGCAGGCTGGAGCGAATGATGTCTGCGTTGATCATGCAAGGCAACGAGTTAAGGGCTACAGTCGCAACCCAGATTACGGAATTAAACACCCAGATAATTAATCTGCAAACAAAAGTGGCAGAAATGAGTGAATCACAATCAGGTAATTCACAAACAACCGGAGACACGCCTGCACAAAGCAGCACTTCTCGGCCGGCACCGTCGAGCCGCGGTGAGCGTCAACTTAACACCGAAACAGGAGTTTCGGGGTCAGCACCGCCGCCAGAACTTAATTCCATGGACCAACATAATCAGAATGACTCTGGCAGACGAAACTGCAACAGTGCATGGGAGATATCGGGAGCTGAGCACCGACCAACAGAGAACCGGAACGTAAGATTGGACAAGTGGAATCTTAAATTTGATGGGACCAGCAGAGGGATGTCAATAGAAAGTTTTCTCTTCCGAGTAGATCGCATGAAAGCACTGTATGGGTATACAGATGAACAGGTATTCCGAGAATTTCACTGTTTACTCACTGGCTCCGCCAGCAAATGGTATTGGCAAATGCTTGAAGACAAAGCGGACGACCATTATTTTGGGTACCACTCGTTAACCCGAGCGATGACCAGAGCCTTTTCGACATCGGAGAACGACTATGTCACCATAAAAGAGTAAATGGAACGACGGCAGGGATATAACGAGAGTTTGGAGGATTATATTTCTGCGATGCACAATCTGCAGTTTAAACTAAGAAATAAGATTCCGGAATCCAACCTGGTGGAGATATTGAAGGAGAACCTTAATTCGCAGATGGGAGCCTTTTTGTTGGCGTCAAGCATATCGACATTAGCCGAGTTTAAGAGGGAAGGAATACGGGTCGAAAAATGGTTGAAGGACAAGAGGTCGCGCCCGCGGCACGTTAGCGAAATCATAAATGAATCGGAAGAAGGATATGAAGCCGATGACTACCAGGTGGAGGCTTTTCAGAACAACCGGCCACCGAAGGGAGCTGGAATGGTAAAGCCAGCAAGAGGAAATCCATTTCGTCAAAACTTGGACAAGAAAACCTTGGAGTCAATGGGAACGGAACCCGGAGGGGAATGCACGTCCCCGTTTCATACATACCTTTGCTACACGTGCAATAAGCCGGCGGACTTTTATCGCCACCGTAAAAGTGTAGACGGAACAGGGTGCCAAGCCCGGTTCCATGCAACGCAGTGTCATTATTGTGGTAAAAACGACTCTTATCACTCTACTCACTCTTCTTTTTTACGGAAAAGTCTGATCGGAGAGCCGGGGAAGACCGGTCAGAAAAACGACACCCCGAGACAATAAAAGAGGCGACCTCAAGCCCCGCACAGATATCGTCTCATAAGACATGGTATCAGCGTAAGGCAGAGAACGAGGAGGCTCGCGCCCGTATCTTTAATACGCCACATGAAGAGGAAGACGACGACGAGCCGACCCCGGCAAGACGGCGTTTGTCAGAGTAAAGAGAGAAAAAAAAAAAAAAATATATATATATATATAAAATCATAACGTATCAAATAAATGGAAACAAATAAAAATATATATGTATATTCCACCTGACCTTTTTTCTTTTCTTTTGGTTAAAAATTAATGATAATAATAATCCGGATATCTCAGTCGGTAGAGCATGAAACTCCTAAATCCCAGGGTATGGGTCGAGGCCACACGTTAGGGCAATAACGGCCTAATTACAATCGCTCCTCGTAGTTTTTTTTGCGAGTGCATTCCATGCTGTATCAGCATCGACGACCCTCGAGCGTGTTACGGGAGCGGGGTAAGAAATAAAACCAGAAAGAAATAGATACCGTAACCAGAGACAGAAGACACTGTGAACTGCAGGTGGCGAAACACCGAAGTTGGTCAATACAGTAACCAGCAACGAATTGGTCAGAGTAAGCAATTCATAAGAACATACAACCGACAATAGGTGTATGCAGCAATTAATATGAAACCTAGCAGAACCCAGAAATGGGGCAATAAGCCAGAAAAAGGGGAAATTCTGTACCTAAGTGGGAACACTTAGATGACCCGGAAGCAAAACCACCGGTATAAAAGAACCCCACCTCAGGTTCAAAAGGAAGAGTAAAAAAGATCATTGCGAATCGGGCAGTCGGAGTCCAAGATAAGTGCGAATCAGACAAGAAACGACCGCGGAACCGCGTTAGGTTATACTACTGGCAAAAACAGTAATCGCGGAGGACCTATCCGAGTGATCGAATTTAGAACCCGATAGAAATATAACTTATATATCATGGGATCTACAACCTCGAAAGCATCCGACAACACGGCAAACGTGGTGAACAACGTTGAAATTGTAGACCACAAGGAGGACATAACCAAAGTCTACAATGTTTTGTGCCTCATTAGTGGACTCTTGATCTTTATGTTGATTCTGAGCTTCCTCCGGATATACAAGCGATCTGTACAGAGACGTCGGGACCACGGACACGAGCTGGAGAAAATCATGGCTGTCGCCGCCAATTGGCCAGAAAGGAGCCAGCACTAATATATCAGCCCGTGCAAAGATAAAAACTACATCATTATTATTATTATTTCAATTTTCGACAAAACAATAAACAATACCCATTCATAATAAACCAGTAATTAAATACAAGCAAAAGACCAAAGTTTTGATTTGTAATTGGAACCACCAGAAGAAACCTCAGCTAGAAGTGCTACCGTCAACCGTCGCGAGTGCCGTTTTCACTCTTCTCTTACTCGCAATTCGTAGCGCCGTAAAGCGAATAACTTTTTCTGTTTGTGAAATAAGACCAACATCGCGCAATTGCCCAAGAAATGACAATTAACATAATTTTTTTTTTATATAAATTAATCCAACACCTTATTAATAATGCTAAGAGAATTTGCACTAATATAAATATATTTATGCATATGTGTATAATTAATTTTCCAAACCCAGAATACCACAATGAGAGCTCTCGTCGATGAAAATAAAAAGGGGTAAGTGAGTTGGGTTTGACTTACTGTCAAGCAAACTTTTTATATATATATATTTACACATATGCGTATATACCTAGATCTTTGTGCAATTTAAACATTTAGATATATATATATATAGTCTTCATACATTAGATTTAACGTCCTGTAAGATTCATATTATTATTTTTATAAATTAGCCCAAAAATATTATTCTTAAATATATATATTCATTCTTAATGTTTCTTTTTTTATACGTTAATACAAATATTACATACACTATATACAGAACATTTCTCAATTTAATTAATTTGGCACCCCAATTTACTCTTATATTTGTCAATTAAATGTGCACCTTTTTAAATAAAAATCTTTTTAATAAATTGTAATATGAAGCAGAACTCAATAATGTCTTGGTAAACGTTTATAAAAGGGGGGAGCTGGCGCAAATGGAAAAACTCGGGTTAAGAACAATGACATAACTTTCGACTGACAACATTGACACTAGGGGATCGCATTGCAGTGGCCGGCGGCGATCCATCGGCATACGGGACGTATGAAGGGGCAGGGTAAAACAGCCACACGCTGCCGATCGAAATTCGGTTAAGCGCTCGAACTAGCTACTTGAGAAGCTTGTGGGCAGCGACGACAAATGACAAAACGAACTGAACGATCTCTATATTTTTCCTAAGGCACGATAAATTTATTCTCGTTATGTAGGGGAGGGAGTGGTTTCCAAAGAACCCACCCCATCTGGCGAGCTTAGCCGGCAACCAGCGTGCCTACTCAGGACGCAACTCCCTCGGCCCAAGTCCTGTGGACTGGGCACTAATACACCGACGTAACAACTTCTGATATCCAATTTTTTGAAGTAAAATGAATAAGCATTCGACAAAATAAATACACTTTTAAAATGTGCATTTGTAGGGAAAATACCTGGAGAAAGTTTATACAAACTATTCATACAAATGAGGTAAGCATGCTGTGATCCACTTAAGTGCAACAAGGTCAAAGGGTAAAAAAGCCGACGTTGGACCCGCACAAAGAAGACGCAGGACAGTACGGCAGTGAGCTTTGGATCCGATCGCGATTAACATAGGCTATGTAACATATATATTTTTAAATGGTGTTTTTTATTTTTAAAAGGGAGAAAAATTCATTCCGCTAGCAATGCTCTTAATTTTTTTTGTTGTTTAAAAATGTTTTAATATAAAACATAAGATCGCAGCATAATAGAGAAATGACAAAATTAATATGAATTAATATTTAACCCTACTGTACTCCACTATTTTACCCAACTCATTATGTCACTTTGAAGAAATTAAAAGAACCTAAAAAAAAAATATTAATTATTAATTGCAATTTACAGTTAGTGACATACTTGATGTGCGTATGAACACAGTCAGACATAATATTTATAAAATTATTGGGTTCATTTATGATAAAAAAAATCTTTAAGCTGGAGTTACTGTCTTTGGTGTTGGAGTTACCCGTAGTCAAATGTTGTTGGTTGGGCAATATTTACTATGCTATTGGGAAAACCAAAAGTGTGATATAATGTTTGGTGGCTATGGTAGAAAGGCCAACACAGCATGCCAAATTCTGTTACAATGCTACTACAGCCTAGTCCGTCCTTGTCCTGAAGCAGATTCTGCGCAGATTCTTTTTGGCACTACTTCTTGAAGAAGTAGTTGCGGCTGAAATTGAAAAAAATTCAAAAAACCAATTCGAGATACTCAATTTCTCAGTCAAGTCAAGTCATGAGTAGTTATCATTTTTATGTAGTATGCAAACAGAAGAACTAGGAAAGAGTGAATTACTTAAGTAATTAATGAAATTATCAAACCGAAGTGATCCAAGTTATGCTACCTTGAAAAACACTAGGGGAGACGTGAATTAAGGAGTTCGAAGTTAGAATTGAATTTTGAAAAAAGTGTCTAAGTGCGATAATACTGATGACATCCACATAGTCAGCATGATTCGAAACCTCAAGATATAAAGTTATTTAATAGTAAATAATGTTCCTCGAATTGTATGTAACGACTTACCTGAAGTTCCAAGTCCAGAAAAAGTCAATATAGAATCAAATACTTGCACCATTATAGACTCGTCTTCATCAAAAATTGTACTTAGACAAAATGAAATTTGTTGTTTACTAAATGCCCAAAACGAATGAGAAAACCCTTTGTATGTTTCGCCATGGTCAAGCACCTTAGACCCCTGTTCTGATCTCAATTTTTCTAATCTGTGCTTTGACAGACGTCTAAGAGTGTTTCTTAAAAATCCTCCCATTTCTTGGGGCTTTTTAACAATATTCATATCCACTAGTTGTCGTCTACAAACAACAACATTTTGGTATAACCTTATTCTGTCTTCATTGGTAGTTCCCTTAATTTTTTTTGAGCACTCTACAATGTTTAAAATCCAATTTGATAAAGAAGGATAATATGATATTATTAAAGACCCTATATCATTTTTTTGCGAGGTTTCGAAGACAAAACATTTCTGTGACTCTATAATTGAGTTTTTTTCTCGAGAATTTTTGTGTAATTGCTTTGTGCTACGATTCACTGAGATTGTTATGAAAGTGTCACTAGGATCCAAAATAATTGATTCAATATCTTCATATTTAAGTTGGTAGATGACTGATTTATCTTCAGGATGAACAAACATTATCCCGTCACAATGTATTGCAAGTATTATGTTGCTTACAAAATTCCAGAACCCTTTGTAATTGACTCTAAACATTGTCGTGCCATAAAGTGGATATTGCATTACGCAGCTTAGGTACAAAACTTTAGCTGTTAGTTCATTTCTTGAAGATCCGTATTGCCTATGGGCTTGTGCTAAAATTGGTATCCAAAATTGTTGTTCTCTTGTTTTCGATATTCTGCTCGGTAAAAAACTGCTTATATCTGAATAATATTCCGGTTTTGGCTGAGTTGATGGATCTCCTAAGGCTACTTGTGCTTGAAGTCCTGCTAGTTGAAGAGCCACCTTTTCGCTGACGGGGAATTCGTCTTTCTGCAATGGTTTTTTTCAAACAATTAAAATTTATGTTTACATTGCTAAGATTAATAACAGCATGCAAAAAAAGGTTTTGTTTCTTAAAGGATAAATATATCTCTCGTTTTTAGAATTTGAAAATTTCTATTTTCATTCCAGTTTCTTCAATTTTATGCGCTAAACTAGTATACTATTAATGCCATTAGCTGAAGGACCCCAGCGGGCCAAAATTTAATTAGTCCTGAGGGAGCAAATTTGCAAACTTTGCAAATCAAACGCCTTTGTTAATAGGGGACAGCTGCCAGTCAGCTGATTTATTTATTTTTTTTTTTTTTTTTTTTTTTTTTAACAATATTGGTATACCATTTTCTGAAAATGTAGAACTGATTGGATTGAAACTTCATGTCACGCAAGTCTCGGAAGTGGCGCCACTCAAGTCAGTAACAATTCTGTAGAGTTGCAAATGAAAAAATATGACATTTTATAGAGAGCTCAAATGATAACCGCTTGTCACAAACATCAGTTAACTTCAAACGGATTTAAAATGAAATACCTTATTCTCTTCCTACAGTTTAAATATTGGATAGATCGTGTGATTATTATTGCAATACGAACTTAACACGAGGTGGCTGTTGCTATTTTTTTCGAGTCTTTAAACAAGTAGTCCACGCTGCCTCGTAAGGACCCTGTTTATTTATTTCCTCTTTAGATCAATTTACCTCACTTTTCCCAAAGAATACCACCAATCGAACGCTACAGAATATGGGTATAATTGATAATACGGTTGGTTGGGGCTACGTTTCAATTTATAATTATCTCGGCGCTATGGGCGGGCCGAATACGGTACTGCTTGCTGAGTGATACCGACGCTGCGAAAGGGCCGAGTATATCACTTCTTTTTTTAGTGGTGTCGGCGCTGCAGAAGGGCTGAGTGCAGGACTGCTTGATGAGTGATACCGACGCTGCGTAAGGGCCGAGTATATCACTGCGTCAGGTTCGTAAGTCGGGTTCGTACGTCGGGTCGTTGAGTGGAACGATCTACTTGGTTTTTCTAAGGGAAGTTGGAATGAAGGGCATCGTGAGTATCGACCTGCCGGTTATTCCGTATCGATTCAGGGTCGGGAGCAAACGACTTATGGGAGGAACTCACTGAGATGGGTTGAAATTACGCAGATCGTGCCGGGCTCAGTGATCACGACCGGGCCTGGGTGCGTATTCGCAAACCACACCGGGCGTCGGTGATCTTCACCAGGTCGTAGAGCCTGAAATCAAAATCGGATTCTTACGGATCCACTACCACTACCAAGACTATCTACCAGAACACTTACCCGGATTTTCCTCCTTGGTGATGTTTCCTCGAAGCTCGTCGGAAAGCAAGTCACTAGCCTGAGAGCGATGATTATCGGCCACCGATAGCTTCGTCGAATAAGTGCGACCGGGTGTTGTTTGCTTTGGGCGCGCGTTTGAACAATGCCAATGTTTGGGTATAAGTTGTACCCAACTCCCGTTTAGGAGTTCCGGATTTTCGTGGCTGTCACGATGATGTTGCCATTTCGTAATCGGAAATGGTTTGGTTGATCCGTTCGGAGGGTATCTACTTTAACTTTTTAGGCTTCTTCGTTCTTTACTACGGGCTTTAGTTCGTTAATGTATGATCTGTGTGTCTTTCCTGTCACCGTATGTTTGATCGTCGGGCACTTGTACTTGTATTTTGGTGTTGTCGTTTCCACCGATTTCGGTGTCTTACTTTGGACTCCAGTACCTTTTCCGTTGGTTGTACGTTCTGGCTTGATCTTGTGCTGCTTTTCCCATGTTCCAATGTGCCAACTCGCTTGTTCCAATTATGCGCTGCAATCGTGCTTCGATCGACTCCTTTACTATTCCGGATCCGGGTGTAGTTTCGTTGTACAAGATACGCCGGGATGTATCCAGTTGACTCTGACCTGCTGCTATTGATAGGCATTGATATTTCGGGTAGCAAGTCGTCCCACCGTGTGTGTTCGGTTCCGGAGAATTGACCTAACATTGTCCTTATTGTCCTATTTGCCATCTCGGTCGTGTTCTCTTGCCGGGTGTTCTGCAAGCTGCGCTTTAAACTTATTGCTTGTAAAATGCACCCCGTTGTCCGAGATGACGTTTTTCGGGGCTCCATATCGTGTGAGGATCTGTTACGATTTCCGTAGTTGCTTTCCTGACGGCCGCTAGCTCCACCCATTGAGAGAACTTGTCAAACACAACTAGAAGCATAGACCTCGGTAGTGGACCAAGTCTATGCAGAAGGTTTCCCAGGGTGCTTTTGCTATCCGTGTCAGCATTTTCCCTGACGCCTCATGCTGTGAGGTTTTGTTTCTCAGCGTTGTACGTACTGTTGTATATATCTCTATGCATCCCTTGCCAGTAGGATGATGCCATTACCCGGTGCTTCGTTTTCCTCATCCCTTGGTGGCCTGCTGTTGCTTCGCTATGGTTGTCTTGTAGTACTCGTTTCTTTGGTTCTTTGCCACGCATAGCTTCCACGGTTGCGTATCCTCGTCTGCGGCCCATGACGGTAGATGTCTATACAGGTTTCCTTCTATTATCGCGTAATCTGGCCATGTTTCTAGATCTTTTCCTATTGCAAGGAGTTTCTGTTTCATCCACTCGTCTTCCTCGATTTCAGCTCCGTACTTCTTCCTCGAGCATTCGGGATAATGCGTCTGCCACGACGTTAAGCTTGCCTTTGCGATAGAGTATTTCGAATGAGTATGGCAGCATTGCCAATGCCCATCTGGTAATGTGTCCTAATGGGCTCCCGATCAAGTTGAGCCATTTAATAGCTTGGTGGTCGGTGATGACGACGAAGTGGTAAATTCCAATTTTCTGGAATCCCCAGTGGATTGCCTGCCACTCTTTTTTGGTGGTATGTATATGAGTATTTTTGTTCTGTCTTCGTAAGTTAAGTCTTCGTAATTAACGTGTTCGCCGTTTTCATACTCTTGGGTTAGTACTGGTCCTAGTCCGCAGTTACTCGCATCAAAGATTCTTCCAAAGTCACGACAAGCAGGACCGATGCTCCCGTTAGGGCTTTCTTTAAGTTTTTGGTTGCCTCTTCTGTCTTTTTAATCCAAACTCCAGGCGAACATTATTTATTGATTCTTTAATTTGTTGTATTAATTTACTCAATAAATGAGCTGAACAGTTTTGCTCTAGTTTTCGAATTGTTTTCATATTTTTCTCTGCTTTGCTGGCCAATGTTCCCACTTTTGCATATACTACTGCAGCATACGACCATTTAACATTTGATAATATCTAACCCCAGCTATTTTCAGATATGCAAAGTTTTTGCACAAATAGCTTCCCTCAAATGGTTACTGGGGGCAACCATCCTAGTGGGTCATAAATTTTTGGTAGTGTGGAAAGAACTGTTCGTTTATTTTCTTTTTCAGAAATCCCTTAGTTAACTTTGAGCTTAAAGTTATATTTTGGGGTTCCCTTTGAAGTGCCAATGTTTTGACAAACTCATTTTTTTTAATAGTTATTATACTGTTATTCGACCGCATAGATATTGATGCCGTTTTCCACCTAGTGTGGGAAAGTTGCCCAACCTGTATGTGATGGGATGAAAACCTTGTGTCGTTTTGTGAATTTTAGTAAGGGAGTTAAATATTCAGTTGTGCTGGGTAAGTTGATAAAGGTGAGTAGTATGAAAGAATAGCCCGTTGGTCCGTTGCTAGGCCGCCGCTGTGCGCAATCTCAGAACCTTTACCAAGGCTGGAAAGATAATTTCGGACCGACGGTGCGCGGTTAACCTCAATACTCAAAATATTTTCGGAGGCACAGAAAATTTTGTGATGATGTCCGAGCCATTGGAATTGTATCCCAATCTTTAAAAGCGTTCTTCTTGAAACTACATTTTTTGAGGTGGTTGACTAGATATTCCGATTTCTTCTGTACCGATTCCTTTGAAATTTGGATTATATCTTGTTTATATAAATCTCTACCGCGTCTTCCTCGAACTTCAAAAATTTTAAGTATAACACGATAGCAGCAAATTTACTAATGAAGAAATTAAGTTTTTTACGATCTATATAAGGGGTTGAATCATGTCAAACCGCACGCACCGAAATTTTTTGGAGAACCCAATCCACAGGACGGTATCTCGGCCAATTTTGGTTTTTTTTTTCTTTTTTTTTATGTTCTTAAAATGTCAAAAAAAAACATAAAAAATTGTATATTAAAAGGTTTTTTTTTGTATCTTAGACTCTCACAAATATGAACCTAAAAGGATTTTTCAATATTCGCATTATTTTCGGAGACACTGCCAATTTTGTGATGATGTCCGAGCCATTGTATCCCAATATTTAAACGCGTTTTTCTTGAAACTACATTTATTGAGGTGGTTGACTAGATATTTCGAGTTCTTCTGCACCGATTCCTTTGAAATTTTGATTATATCTTGTTTACATTGTGACGACCCACAGTCATAACAACTCTTAAAACTAAGTACAACGACATTATTCAAACGCGCGTCCAAAGCCAACAGCACCCGGTCACACTTATTCGACGAAGTTATCGATCGCCGATAATCATCGCCCAATAACCCGATTACCCAAAGCGGGATTATCGTCATTGTCCGATCTGGTCACACGTACCGGCGCCTATAGAAGCGGAGACACAGCCTCAGACCAGTCAATTGCGTTCCGACGACTCTCGAGGAAACATCGCTTAGGAGGAATATCCGGGTAAGTGTTCTGGTAGTATTGGTAGTGGTGATGGATCCATAAGAGTTAGATTTTAAGTCGGCTCTACGACCTAATGAGGATCACCGACGTCCGGTGCGGTTTTGGAATACGCGCCCAGGCCCGGTCGTAATTACTGAGCCCGGCACGGTTTGCGTAATTCCGGCCCATCTCAGCGAGTTTCTCCCAGAGGTCACGTTTCCGGCTTCCGACCTGGAAACGATACGGAATAAACGGCAGGTCGAAACTAACGATGCCCGGCAGCTCGAAACTAACGATGCCCTACACTCCCACACACCA